GTAGCTGGACGCCGATTGAACACTAACCTGCTCTGTGTAAGCGAACTTCAGGATTCAGAATGTTGTCCAGTAGTCTGCGCTGTCGCTCGTTCTCCCGCTTTGAAAGAAAAAGTTCCTCTTCGTACTCCACTATGGTTCTCTCAAACACACCAAATATCTCCTCCGCGGCCGCCATTAGACGCTGACTCACCACCGTCCTCAACATTTCCACTTTGGACATGTTTAAAACTGTCAAATGTGTGGGCTCCTCCATGTTGTCAGCCACAGCCACTTTCTAACTTCCGTGTTCTGCCAGCAGCAGCAACAACAGCGACACTTCCGGCCCAAATCTTTCACAATAGTTTTCAGAAACGTCCTGGAATCCTGGAACATTTCATTTCATTTGTATATATGTAAACGGTAGCTACTTTTTTTAACATTAACTTTACTTTCTATTGAAGTAGACGTACAATGACAAATATGGAATCCCATTTCTCTCTTTCTCTCTTTCTCTCTTTCTCTCTCTCTCTCTCTCTCTCTCTCTCTCTCTACAAATAAAATTGAATTGAATTGAATTGAATTGAACGTAGGGGTCGCCAAAGCTTCACAAGGGGTCACAAGGCCTTGTGATTTTAAGGGTAATGTAAGAAACAGTATACAATACAACACAGTAGGCCATTATCACAGCATTTAATTTATTCCATTGATTCGTTGAAACAGAAAACTACTATTAATAGCCTATACAGACACAAGCCATTTAAATCTGTGTAGATTCTCTTTATTTTCGCTGTTCTTGCCTGTTGGTCTTCCCCACCCATCAACAGACTCAGTCATAATGGAAGGAGACAGATAATAAGTTGCATTAAAAGGGGGTTATATTGTGGACGTGAAAATCACCGTGTAGATCACTGGTTCCCAACCTTGTCTTAAGGGACCCTTTCCATCATTGAGTAAACTGACTCAGTGACTATTTTTATAATATTCAGTTGCATAACAATAACAGTAGGGAACACAATTAATCTACAGGAACAGAGATTGAATGAATTTATGAGCAGATTTTTGAATAGTGATGTAATTATATTTTGGGATGTTTTATTAAATGTTCCGTCTGTATTATGTTTTTCTTTTTAAACAATCATACAGGTTCCTTTTTTCTATTAGGTCTTAAATTGTTACTGTTGTGTAACAATAATTATGATTTTATCTCATTAATTGGATTTAACATAAAAATAAATATTATCAAAGCTTTCATCTTATTTCTTTATTTTACTGGCCGAAT